TTAATGATCAGCCTTCCACAATTCAACTTACTACTGTGACCGGATGTAACTGACATTTTCTGCTAAAACCAATGTGGTGCACTGTCACACAAAGGTCGGTCACACGGTCAGTTCAGCAGGTAATCAATCCTGTAATACATTCATTGCCATCATAAATACCAGCAACCAGACAAAAACAAGATTCTCCTAAATGACCTGAATCTTCTACACTACAATTCCTCCACATAACATTGACTAAATCCAGATAAACTGGTTAAATTCCACACTAACTCCCTACAGTACTGCAACTTGCAGTATCACATTACAGTCAAATGCCAACTATAATCATGTAGTGTGCTTCACGGTAAGCATTGACCTTGAATTTACAAGCGGCTGTGGTCTATCGACAGCAGCATTACAAATGCTGTAATTCACTAAACTTGTACGATTACACATTGAACTTTACATGTTAAACAGTAACATATTACATGCTAATACCAACGTTCACATATTGAACAACTTATCATGAATCAAATCAATACAACTCACCTAACATGTTAACACAATGGCACTCGGGCTCAAATAGAACAAATCATTAGCTTCGAGCGCATTGTTGTTCCCCGGCTTGTGCCTCAAAACAGCACCAGTGCCACATCTCGGTGTGAGATCCTATTTTCACTCGAAACATCTTTCCCCCACGATGCGACGACACTCTCGCATCTCTACCCATACAGTACCGATAATTGCTCTACAGTTCAAATTACTCATACCCTTCTACAGGACATATGACTACTATCTTATTAACAGGTCTACTGAACAACTTGTTCGCAGTTTTGACTTGGACGTTTCGCACTCGATTGTCTTTTCCCGGGTACACTTCAGTGATTCGACCAAGCTTCCATTGTCCCCGAATCATGTTAGGGTCAGCCATCAGAACAACATCATCTACCCTGACATTCCGACGGTCCACATTCCATTTCCTTCGAGGAACCAGCAGCGGGAAGACATCTCGAATCCATGACTTCCAGAAGGCATCGACTATGCGCTGAACGAATTCCAGTCTGTCTTTCGGATTCTTCGTCGGACGGAACGGTCCTTGTGGAACCCTACTGGAGGCTCGTCCCAACAGGATGTCGTTTGGGCAAATATATTTACCATCGTCTGGATCGTTCAGTAGTCCTCCGATGGGTCGTTCGTTTACAAGATTTGCCACTTCTTGTAGGCAGGTATGCAGCTCAAACGGCGTGAGTCGTTGTTCGCCGATTGCTTTCTTCAGAGCATGCTTGCAGCTCTTTACAAGTGCTTCAGCACATCCATTTTGATGTGGAGCCAGTGGTGTAATGAACTTCCATTTAACCTGTCTCTCTGCACAGAAGTCTTGTAATTCATCCTTACTCCAGCCAGTCAACATTTCTCTCAGTTGCCTCTGGGCACCCACAAACTGCGTACCGTTGTCGCTCTGTATCTCTTTTGGATGTCCCCTTATGGCAAAGAACCGTCTCAATACCTGCAGGAATTCCATAGTTGAACAATCAACTGCTACTTCCAAGTGAACAGCTCTTGTGTTGAGGCAAGTGAAGATGACTCCATAGTGTTTGGTAGTTTTATTTCGTCCAACCTTTACCACATATGTCCCAAAATAATCGCAGGCAGTGAAATAGAATGGCGGGGTAAACGGCGCCAATCTCTCCAATGGAAGATCTGCCATCCTCTGTGTCTCAGCATTGTGGTCGAAGGCTCTGCAGGTTACACATATGAACTTCACCTTCTTCGCCAGCCTCGTAACTCCCACTATCCAGTACCTATTTCTAACTTTAGCAGCAGTGGTGGCAACACCATAATGGCCACATTCATGCACATTCCTCGTGATTAAGTAGGATATGTGATGTTCTCTTGGCAGCAAAGCTGGATGTCTAGACTCGTAGGAGAGCAGACTGTTCCCAGCTCGTCCTCCCACATAGATGATATGTTCCTTCACAAAAGGACTTAGGGACTTTAATACACCCTTCTCCATGTCTTCATGTACATTTTTCTGGGCTTCTTTGATCCAGTATTTTTCTCCTGTGGAAAGCTCTTCTGCTGACAGCGGCCCATCTTCCTTCAAGCATTTGGATTTCAGATTGGTTAGAAATCTAAAAACGTATGCAGTCACACGGATCAACTTCCTCCACTTGGAGAACTTTGTACAGTCAATGGCACATTCTACTTCCCTTACTAACAGGATAGTTTTCTCTTTCTTTTTCTCTTTGTTAATTTCGTTTATCTCAGCTTTGAAAATGCATTTTGGCCATTCTTCTTCTGGCAACCGGAGAAAGGCTGGACCATTTCTCCATTCACCTTCCAAGTCATCGATTGCAATCCCTCTGGACACTTTGACACGTCGCCAATCTGACGGGTCGGTCTGGATCTGTACTTCTGATACTCTGTTTGCAACAAAAGACTTAAACTGCCTGGACTGGCCTCTAATGCAGGACAAGGCAATTATACTGTCAGACAGGAATACAGCTCTGTCGGGTTTCACTGACATCTCTTCCATCACAGTAGCATATAGTCTGGCTGCGAGAACACTGGATTGCAACTCCAACCGAGGAATAGAGATAGCTCTCAGTGGGGCCACACGTGACTTTGCTGAAACAAACCTCACGTCATAATTTCCATCATCCTCTTCCCACCTTATATAAGCCACAGCGCCGAATGCTGCTTCTGACGCATCACAGAATACCACAATTCCAGTAGGTCTGGATGCTTTTGGCATTAGGCATCTGTTGAAGGATATACCATCTAGCTTTTCCAGTTGAGTGAAGAACTTTCTCCATTCGTTTGTAACTTCGGTAGACAAGGCGTCATCCCAGCCAATACCAATCTGCCACAGCTCCTGCATTAATATTTTCCCTCTGATTATAAATGCACTGGTGAACCCTATTGGATCAAAGATTTTTGCCAATTCACTCAAAACGTTCCGTTTGGTCATCAGCTCATTTTCCTTTGTTCTGACAGGTTTGACCTTGTACTTTAGAAGATCAGACTCAGGATCCCAGACCACGCCTAAGACTTTCTGCTCTTCCGCATTGCCAATGACAAGTCTTTCATCAGGATTTTCCTTGTCATCATTCAATGGACCATTTGAGAACCATTCTTTTACTCTGAAGCCTCCCTTCTGGAGTACAGTGTCCATATCATGGGTGACATCTCTGGCTTTTCCAATTGTATAGACTGATGTGCAAATGTCATCCATATAGGTGTCCTTGTCCAATATATCTGCAGCCTCTGGATACTGGCATGCTCCTTCTGCTGCAGTCCTCTTCAATGCAGTTATAGCCATAGCCGGTGCAGGTTTGTCGCCAAATGTTACCACTTCTTTTACATAAACATCCGGTTCTCTGGATTCGTAGCTTCTCCACAGGAACCGATGAACATGTTTGTCCGTTTCTGGAATCTCCACTTGGTGGTACATCTTCGATATATCACCTGATATGGCTATCGGGTGTTGCCTGAAACGCAACAGGACACCAAACAGATCATTCAGGAGATCCGGGCCTTTCTCCCAGTAATCATTCAGACTATGTCCCTTAAAGGATGCAGAAGAGTTAAACACGATCCGCACTGGTGTGCTCTTCTTCTCTGGGCGGATGACTGCATGATGAGAGATATAATGTACAGGGCCCTTGTAATTCTGTATCTCTTCTAGTCCAAGCTTTTTGGAATACCCCTTTTCCTCCATTTCCTTCATCTGCTCATCATATAGTCGGGCATTAGTCTCATTTTTCATCAACCGCTGTTCGATTGATACCAGCTTTGCCATACATTGCGTCTTGTTGGAACAAAGGAAAATGAGCTGATGACCAAACGGTGCACTGGTGAACCCTATTGGATCAAAGATTTTTGCCAATTCACTCAAAACGTTTACCAATCTGCCACAGCTCCTGCATTAATATTTTCCCTCTGATTATAAAAACTTTCTCCATTCGTTTGTAACTTCGGTAGACAAGGCGTCATCCCAGCCAACTTCACTCAACTGGAAAAGCTAGATGGTATATCCTTCAACAGATGCCTAATGCCAAAAACATCCAGACCTACTGGAATTGTGATATTCTGTGATGCGTCAGAAGCAGCATTCGGCGCTGTGGCTTATACAAGGTGGGAAGAGGATGATGGAAGTTATGACGTGAGGTTTGGGATTGCAACTCCAACCGAGGAATAGAGATAGCTCTCAGTGGGGCCACACGTGACTTTGCTGAAAAGTCTTGCTGCGAGGACAGATATGCTACTGTGATAGAAGAGATGTCAGTGAAACCCGACAGAGCTGTATTCCTGTCTGACAGTATAATTGCCCTGTCCTGGATTAGAGGCCAGTCCAGGCAGTTTAAGTCTTTTGTTGCAAACAGAGTATCAGAAGTACAGAGCCAGACCGACCCGTCAGATTGGCGACACATACCAGGGGAATATAACATCGCGGACAAAGTGTCCAGAGGGATTGCAGTCGATGACTTGGAAGGTGAATGGAGAAATGGTCCAGCCTTTCTCCGGTTGCCAGAAGAAGAATGGCCAAAATGCATTCCCAAAGCTGAGATAAACGAAATTAACAAAGAGAGAAGGAAAGAGAAAACTGTACTGTTAGTAAGTGAAGTAGAATGTGCCATTGACTGTACAAAGTTCTCCAAGTGGAGGAAATTGATCCGTGTGACAGCATACGTTTTTAGATTTCTAACCAATTTGTTTCTCTCCTGTGGAAAGCTCTTCTGCTGACAGCGGCCCGTCTTCCTTCAAGCATTTGGATTTCAGGTAGGATACGTGATGTTCTCTTGGCAGCAAAGCTGGATGTCTTGACTCGTAGGAGAGCAGACTGTTCCCAGCTCGTCCTCCCACATAGATGATCTGTTCCTTCACAAAAGGACTTAGGGACTTGAATACACCCTTCTCCATGTCTTCATGTACATTCTTCTGGGCTTCTTTGATCCAGTAATCACGAGGAATGTGCATGAATGTGGCCATTATGGTGTTGCCACTACTGCTGCTAAAGTTAGAAGCAGGTACTGGATAGTGGGAGTTACGAGGCTGGCGAAGAAGGTGAAGTTCAGATGTGTAACCTGCAGAGCCTTCGACCACAATGCTGAGACACAGAGGATGGCAGATCTTCCAGTGGAAAGATTGGCGCCGTTTACCCCGCCATTCTATTTCACTGCCTGCGATTATTTTGGGCCATATGTGGTAAAGGTTGGACGAAATAAAACTACCAAACACTATGGAGTCATCTTCACTTGCCTCAACACAAGAGCTGTTCACTTGGAAGTAGCAGTTGATTGTTCAACTATGGAATTCCTGCAGGTATTGAGACGGTTCTTTGCCATGAGGGGACATCCAAAAGAGATACAGAGCGACAACGGTACGCAGTTTGTGGGTGCCCAGAGGCAACTGAGAGAAATGTTGACTGGCTGGAGT